TAAGGAATCAAGATTTTGTCCACATGAAGCTGGTATTTGGTTTGGTCGTGCTCACAGCTTTAGTAAGTTCTGACAGCTGTAAAGCAGGGTTGGCTGGAAATCCTTGAAGCGGGACTATGAAATCACTAGCATGAGGTAGAAAGCCTTCCACTCTCTGACTAGTATTCTATGGGACTCCTGTTCTTACTTCTTACATGGTTGTCTCTAATTGCTCTTCATTATGATGACAATAATTTTATCAGCAAGGAATTGTGTCCAAATGTTGGTAAAAGAAAACCCAAAATAAGAGTAAGTTGACCAAATAGGGGCTGATCTTTCTGCAACTGAAAAACATTCTGATATTGTTGTTTCACTGGTCAAAGAAATCAGAAGCCAGGTTATCTGCTGTTTTGCTGATCTTTTCTTAAGTCTTGGAAGATGGGACTGTCACTTCTATTTTTTCTTGGCAACTCCACTCCCCGCCTGCCTCCACTACTAGGGAGGATTGAGTCACCTCAGCCCCTTTTTATTTTTTATTTTGACACAAGGTCTTGCTAAGTTGCCCGGTCTGAGGTTGAACTTGTGATCCTCCTGCCTCAGCCTCCCAGTGTGCTGAAATTATAGGCATGCACCACCATATCTGGCTCAGCTCTACTTTCATATCTGATTTTCAGGCAGCAAGAAGGAAAAAGCTATAGAATACTGTTAGTGTGTGTACTCCAAAGCAGTATCCCCCTGCTAGACACACACACAGCTTTTCCAGCCAACCCATGCAAGTCCTCCTTAAAGCTATTGTCAGAACTGTGTTGAGTCACTGTATAGATGAAGAGGCCAGGCTTCTTTGTTCCATAACAAAACCAAAGATCTCTGATAATGAGGAAAACAGGAGAATATCCATTAGTTGGGTGAATATCAGCCTGCCTTTGCAATGTATCAATATTACTTTTTTTTTTAAGTTAACTTTCTTCAGGATATGCACAGTGCAGATAATCTCCTAATTCCTTCCTTTTCGATTTTTCTGGGTGCATTGTCTTTCTGTCCACCTAAAACGACCCTTTTTAAAGTCCCTCATTGCTGTAGGTTGGAACATTCAGTTAATCACTCAGATGCCATATCCCAGCTATGAAAAATTACAGAACTCACTCAATTCTCTGGGCTAGATCAACAGTTCGTGATCACAACACAGATCTTTAGGAATGGCTCAAATAATCATGTAGGTTTACTTCTGGCTTCAAGACTTAATGTTACGGGCTTCAGTAATGTTGAAACAGCATGATCATTCCAAACTGTGTTTTCAGTGTTTTATTTTGATATTAATTGATCCCACTTATAGACAAGTAGCATTTTATGTTCCTACTTAGGCTTCTAATTGTGTGCAGTACAATACTCAGGCATAATGCACACAAGGAATGGCTGCAGATGAGCTCTAACCTATGGTCTCTCTCTGATCCTGAGTGACTCATAGGCTTGTAAATCTGCAGCTAAACTGAGTCCAGGGTCAGCATGTTCCAGTTTCATAATCATGACTAATGATAATCTTCAACCTGTAGCTTTCTGTCTGTAACCAATAAGCTTTGGAAACTGTATC